ATTCCGTTTTGCAAATATTATTATTGCTTTGTGTGTTCCTTACTTTACTTTAAATTTTACTCATTACATGTTTTTTCGTAACTTTACTCATTGACCTCCAAAACTTTAATAACTTAATTTTAATGTCAAAATTTGAAAGTTTTTACTAGCCCCATGTTATTCTTATGGATAATAACATTGAAATTTAATGACATTTTTATGGTCATCTGAATCGTTTAGAAACGTGCTAGAGACTTGAAATTTGGTAGTACTGTATTGTAGTATGGGATCTTTAATTAACGGTGAATTATGCAAAACACCGATTTTCCAATGTTAACCCCCACAACTATCCAAAATGGCGGACATCTAAAAACGACAAAACACGTTTTTAGCGAATTTCCCATATAGGGAATAAGCTATTACCGTAGGTCTCATGGTAAGACCTAGACCCGGGACCGATTTTCTTTTTCGTTTTGAGGTCCCCAGAGGCCAAAAACACCATCCGTTCAAATTCATATATATATATATATTTATATATGTGTCCGTTAGCGCGATAACTCGAGCAAAATTGATCCGATTTTGATGAAATTTGGTACAAACGTGTAAACCTACATTTATTCGAACGAGTTCGCGAACCAGCATAATCGGGCCATGGGATCAGGGGTTTATGGGGGGTTTTATGGGGTAAAAATGGGTTTTTCTCATTTTTGACCCTAAAAACTTAAAATTTCTAAATTTCTCTCTAGACCAATTTGAAGAGCTTAAAAAAAACAAATAATTTGATATATTAAAGTGTTTTTGAATGTTCATTGACTATGGAGAAAATTTAAAATTCCCATGTTATTCTTATGGAGAATAAATAAACTGTTCTAGTTTGCTTGTTTATGGATATATTTTAATCAAATTTGGCAATTTGGTTTATTTCATACTAAGCTATCAATATTTCAATTGAAAAAAAAACACATCTCAACATCTTCCCTGTAGCAGCAAACCTAACTACTCACTAAAATTAATGTTATTTAAATAGGAAATAAATCTGAAAATTTATAGGGAATATTTTAGTAGAAATCAAGCCGGGTAAATGGAAATTCGCTTAGTATGCAGGTTTGCTGCGACGGGGGTATTTTCAAACAGCTATAGCTCGAAAACTCTTCAAAAAACGCCCTACTTTCAATATTAGGTAAATTTCTATAAAATTTGTTTACGATTTTCAACCCCCCCCTGAAATGTTGACTTCCCCAATGTTAATTATATAGGTACATCGGTCTAAATCACGTTTACACACTTTAACATTAGCTGGAGATATGAAATTTGGTAGGCTTGTTGGTCTTAGTCCCAAACAACCTAGAACATTCCCAAAAGTTACATTTTCCAATGATTTTCCCCCTTCCCCGATTCAACAATTTCTCCCTCCCATTATGTAATTTTTATAGGAAGTTTCTAACTTTGGTATGGACATTAGAACCGTTTACTTCAAATTTGACTGAGACTTGAGAAATGCTATGAGTGCTATCTAGACCACTTCTAGGTGTGCTATGGACTTGAAATTTCCCGGCTTCTTGCTGATTGCTTCTCACCCCTTCCTAAATTTAATAAAAGACATTTTAAAACTTACTGTAACCTTATTATTTCATATATCACTTTACTGATATCAACTTATTAAATATCGATCTACTCTAATATAGTTGTTAAATCGTGTTTAGTTTAATATCGATTTCCACTATAACGAACCCCATTCTCCTTATCTTGTTTGGCCTAAAACTCAGTTGTAATAATACTTTACCAATATACTCTCTTACCACAACTTTATAAAAAAAAAATATAACTTGCCAACCTCCTTTAATGTATTCGTGAAATTGTTTTTATATACTGTAACGTAATATTGACTGTTTCACTGCCTGCTTTGTTACAACTCTAATCTACTATAGTAATACCAGAAACAAAAGAACCCTGGGCCGTTTCGAGCCGCGCAGGTTTGAATGGTACGCCACACCTACCTGCGCGAACCACGTGATCTTTTCGTTTCTGCGCAGGTTGTTTTGTTCTTGGGATATCTATAATGACGACTAACAGCTAGGGGGCCTGGGGACGGAGCCCCCAGCGAGCCAAAGGCGAGTTACATTGTATACGAAAAGTAAAAAAAAACGTCTAATAACACTTAATATAACATATATTTGTGCTCTCATACTGTTATCTCACCAGACGATAAATATACATAAAATATGGCAAATGGTGATCGAGTTTGATTCGACACTCCAATCATCATTAGACCCAATAGACGAATTATTTACATTGTATAATGAAGAAAACTCAAAGGTGTGCAGTTGAGTATTTAACACTAGAAGCAGATAACTAGTGGCCTTTGTTTGGCCATGTCTTGGATTGCAGTGTTATCATATGTTTCTGTTTGCCGTACAGAAACATACAGTTACTGTACAGTAACTAACAGTTCATGGACAGTCAATTTTATTAATCTGTTATGTCGTAAGCATTTATCAATATAGAATGATTACTGTTGAAGCGTTTCAATCCAAAGAAAAGTTCCAGATTATAAAGTGGTAGGGGTGATGGGTAGGGGAGGGCTTTTACATAGCTGGGGGTGGGTGGGGTCCTAGGAGGTGGGGCTTCGCCTCCGTGGATGGAATAGGACTCCTGACGCAGGTAGAGCTAAGGATTATAGGGGTTAATCTGGGACCGCGGGCGAATTGGGAGTAATTAGGCTCCGGGCGAAATAAAACTCGGGCGGAATAGGACTACACGAGTTTGGTCCAGATACAGCGATTCCCAAATGATTAGCATTTTCCCGTTATTTTCTCCATAATTCCCGAATTCCCACCAATATCCCCAAAGTTCCAACCTCCCCAACAACTCCCCCCCGCTAAAATAAAAATAGGATAGTATTCATGTTAAGGGATAAACTTAAAAAAAAAAATGTTTGGCTGGTGTTCTCCAGCCAATTCTTTTTTGCCATGGACGTCAAAAAATACTCACAAGCCCCGCAAAGCATACATTGAAAATAGTCGTTTACCTGATGAGCACAATTTAAATATATCCATTGAGTAATATTACTCAATAAGTAGTCATTTTACTCTGGGGACAACTATAAAAATCTACTTGTACAACTTGGAAATACATGTTTTAGCCTACTGTACATGACGTGTGGTGTTTCTTGTCCGTAGCCGTCTACGAGTGGTTGATGGTCAAATACGGTTCTCCATCTCTCGTGTTTGTTCAGGTGATTAGGTAATCAAAGATAATTAATTGGTTCCTGAGGCACCGAGCTTCATGTTAGCTCTACTGTTTAAATACACAATATTGCACCTTTTACATATTTGCTGTTAATTCTTAATGCATACTTGCAAGTAAAAGATTTCCGAGCAAATGGAGTTGACATTTTTAACAACTAAGATGCTATGCCTACGTAGTTTTCTTACAAGGACATTTTCTTTGTGAAAATTTCCTATAAAAGGTCAAAAGAATGTCTACAAAAACAAAATACAAGAACGTCGAACCTTTTTCAGATTATAATGTGCAATTGAAAAAGACCCCTTGTAAAATTAACACTTTTTTGTGAAGTGCACTAGTATAACAATCGATCTTCCACTTTTGTCTCCGTTGGCAAAATATGTAAAAGTTTAAAGTACCTGTACCTTGCTAAACCTCTTTCTAATCTGAAACAAAATATTCATTAAGCTAAATCCAATTTTAAAATTATTTTATTTTATTTATTGTTGATAATTTAAAATTAATAAAATAGCCCCTTCACACCAAACCTGCAGACTAAAAGAGTTTCAATTTCCTTGGTTGGATTTCCACTAAAACCTATATTTCTTTTAAATTGTCATATTTATTCACTACAATGCTACTTTGTTCAATGAGCACTTTATTTGATGCTACTGAAATGGAAAGTAATAATGTGACTGTGTTTCCCCCGTAATGATTATACGAACAAGAACGGTTTAACGTACAACTACTGAAAAATTGTATTTTAAGCTCTCCAAAATTATATAGAAAAATTGTATATTTTGTGAGTCAAAAAAGGGAAGTCAATGCATTTTCCCTATAAAAAACCCCTTCCCAGTTTTACGAGTTCAAAACGATAAAGTAAATCGGTCTCATGTCCAGGTCTTACCTTGAGACCTACTAACAGTAATAGCTATTTCCCCAAATGGAAGATTTGCTTAAAACTATTCGCTAACACAATTGAAATAGAATGCTATGTACATAAGCAAACAACAACAACATCTTGATATAAAATCAGATAAGTTGTTTTCTCTCAAATCGACATTATATGGATCATAAACTGCAGTTTCTGATCGATGTTCGATCCACAAAGCGATATCTGTTTATGTATTGTCAATAGCAGCATCACATTATTTTGTTTCATGCATTGAAAGCTTATTTCCGTGGATTAACAAACATCATTTGCATTTAAATTTTCATTGTAACGAAGGTAGCCACTGATTGACTGTTGAATATGGATCTGCATTAACAATCTGTTCAGCGGTTTCCTGGTGTTCGTCAAACACTGACAAAGTCTGCGTTTTTCGCAAACAGCCCTCAAATCGTTTATTTATCAGTTTAAATAAATATTTGAAGACTTTGGCTCATTACTAAATCATCAATTCATCCAAGGAATAAAATCACTGATGAACAGTATAAATGAAAACAAAATTTTTTAAACCTAATCCTCAAAATTACCATCCATCGTTTCATGTAGGCCTATTTTCTATTTTAAACAAAACTGAACAAGGCAGTTTTGAATTTTCCCAAAACAAATTAAATGTTAAGTTAGTTTAAATGTAAAATTAGAATAGATCTTAAACGTCGTTGCCTTGTCTTTCAATAATTAAAAATGCAGTTGCTATTTAACAACAAATTGTTTGTATGCATATAACAATCTTCGTTCATTGTTATACGTGACTTTGAAGTGTACTCCTATTTTATTACAAAGAATAATAAATTACTGACCTTTAATTTGTGCTATTGGAAGATACAAAAAGCAATAAAATGAACTCAAGTTCTATTAAAACTTGATTTTAATATTTGACAGTGGCAATGTGGAAAGTGTATTTAAATCATGAACCGCATTTTGGATGCCAAGTTTTCTTCACGCACTTCTTCTTTTCCACTTTTTTCTCCTCAATTGGCTCTTCCTTTTTAGGACAAGGCTTCTTATTTTTTCCCTTTGACGATTTTTTACCAGCGGCCGGTTTCTTAGCTGCCGTCTTGGTCTTCTTCGCTTCTACAGTCTTGGTCTTCTTCGCTTCTGTAGTCTTGGTTTTCTTCGCTTGTGATTTTGCAGGACTGGGTTTGGGAGTTGGTTTGAAACTTCCTCCTCCACATGTTGTACAAGCGAAGGCTCGATACGTCTGGCTTGTGTCGAGACTTGGGCTGATGACGTAGAGACGCGGGGAAGCTTGGAGCACCCGGGAGACATGTGGCTGAAGACTAGAGGCAGCTGGCAACGCCCTCAGGGCAGGGAGAGCCACAGCTCTGAACCAGGGCTGGAAGAAACACTACCTTGTCAGCATACCATCAACTTTACCAAACTTTGACCCCTTATGGACTATTATACAAGTCACCAAAATGAGTACAGTGTTGAAAATAGAAAACACATGTTACTCTAGCTTTAAGGTCTTAATAACGTGTTTTTTTAAATTATCTCTTTGACTTTTATTCCTATTTAGATCAAACAAACCACAAACCTAACAGTTAACAGGTCTTATCTAAAAGAAAAGTGCATTCTGGGTTTAATTGGTTGATATATTTCACAGTCGTGTCGCAAAATTGGTTATAATCTGTATTTGTTCTAAAAAAAATATGTTGTCTAGCTTATGTAGTTTTGTGTTAAAAAATGTTCAAAATAATAAACAAATAAATTCCCAATAGCCCAGAAGAATGAGAGGAATCCACAAGAACAGTGAACAACGAGGCTTGTTAGGAAATTATCCAGGTGGTCAATTCTTTGGCAGACACAAAAACATTATCCACACCAATACTGTCCGTCCGGCAGCAGATATTACAGTTATAACATAGGCCTAAACGTACATATTACCTTCATCGAAGAACTTTAATGGGAAAAAACCAGCCAATAGGAAATAACAAATTTTAAACATGTCTACAAAATAGCATTTACTTTTTGAAACACCGTCCAAGCTATCATGAAAACAACTCATTAAATATTCTTTGCTTGAGTTTTGCAAACGCAATAATATTAATAAAACCGTAAATATTCAAATGTATCTAATCAAATGTATGTAATCAAATGTATTTGTTTTTAACCATTGATAAATTGCTTAGTAAAAATAATAAAGTTGTAGTAAACATAACTGAGGTGATATTTTGTCGTGGTGAGGTTAACACAGAAGCACTTGGTTAATGATGTTGTTTGGAGACTTTCTAGTTCTCGAATTTCCAATTTACTTCCCCTCGCCATCCTACATTGCCCTCAAGCGACGTTTGGCTCTTTCCGAGTTTATTTTGCTAGATTAAGTGAACCATTTTATCGCTTACTCCAGCTATAATTGTTCGATTGTCTATTTTTATTGTCGATTCCTAATTGAATGTTGATAACTAAATATTGTATATTAGCCAGAGCAGGTGTATGATTAAAACATTGCATATTTGACTAAGATGTAATAGGTACATGTTTTAGGTAAATGCTCAAAAACGAAACCTTTTTAACAGAAAATATACTCACCAGCATTTTGAGAAATTACTGAAAATTTTGAGACTAGCTTGAATCTTGAAATTATTTCATTCCATAAGCTATGAAAATAATTATTTTTGTTACTATGGAAATATCTTGAATTATATACTGATATAAACTACTACTACTATGTTGTATAAGATTTAATTTCAGGTTATGCCAAAATATTAGTTTTTACCGAACCCTGAGGTGACGAAAAGGATTACTGTACCTCAAAACCACTTAGACAACTTCTTCTTGAAATAAAAATCAGAATTTTGTTTTAACCAATTATTACCTTGACAGTCAGCTTAAGGACTGGTTGCATACATATAACAAAAGTTTCCATGACGGATTCTCAGTAATTTGGTTAATACTGTGACCTAAGATGACAATCAAAAGACACGCATTACTAGGTCTATTAGGAACGACTGTACAAACTCAACAGTTCTGTTTATGACAGATACTCTGTTTTGTCACTAGTCGATACACTGTTGCACTGTTGCATTACACAATGGATACGAGGCAGGTAAGCAGTAGGTAGATTATCACAATCCTGACTGTACAGATGCAAAAGTTCTGTTTATAAAAAATATTCTCTGTTGCGACTGGTAAAATTTCATCGTACACTGTTGCAAACGTCGTACAAAAGGTAGATCCATCATCATCAGCCATACTGTAGAGATGCAACAGCTCTGTTTATGACAAGTATTCTCTATTGTGAGTGGTAGAAATATACTGTTGCATAATACAACATACAACAGGCAAGCTGCTGTAGGTCCATTATCACCAGCCTGACTGTAGAGATGCAACAGCTCTGTTTATGACAAGTATTCTCTATTGTGAGTGGTAGAAATATACTGTTGCATAATACAACATACAACAGGCAAGCTGCTAGGTAGGTCCATTATCACCAGCCTGACTGTAGAGATGCAACAGCTCTGTTTATGACAAGTATTCTCTATTGTGAGTGGTAGAAATATACTGTTGCATAATACAACATACAACAGGCAAGCTGCTAGGTAGGTCCATTATCACCAGCCTGACTGTAGAGATGCAACAGCTCTGTTTATGACAAGTATTCTCTATTGTGAGTGGTAGAAATATACTGTTGCATAATACAACATACAACAGGCAAGCTGCTGTAAGTCCATTATCATCAGCCATACTGTAGGGATGCAACAGCTCTGTTTATGACAAGTATTCTCTATTGTGAGTGGTAGAAATATACTGTTGCATAATACAACATACAACAGGCAAGCTGCTGTAGGTCCATTATCACCAGCCATACTGTAGAGATGCAACAGCTCTGTTTATGACAAGTATTCTCTATTGTGACTGTTAGAAATATACTGTTGCATATACAACATACAACAGGCAGGCTGCTGTAGGTCCATTATCACCAGCCATACTGTAGAGATGCAACAGCTCTGTTTATGACAAGTATTCTCTATTGTGACTGGTAGAAATATACTGTTGCATATACAACATACAACAGGCAGGCTGCTGTAGGTCCATTATCATCAGCCATACTGTAGAGATGCAACAGCTCTGTTTATGACAAGTATTCTCTATTGTGAGTGGTAGAAATATACTGTTGCATATACAACATACAACAGGCAGGCTGCTGCAGGTCCATTATCACCAGTCTGACTGTAGAGATGCAACAGCCATGTTTATGACAGTTACTCTTTAATTGTGGTAGGTAGCCTAAATTTAATGTTACATAACACAATTAACAACATACAGGCTGCTGTAGGTCCACTATCACCAGTGTGACTGTAGAGATGCATCAGCCATGTTTATGACAGTTACTCTCTAATTGTGGTTGGTAAATTTAATATTGCATAACACAATTAACAACAGACAGGCTGCTGTAGGTCTATTATCACCAGCCCGACTGTACAGTAACAACAGCTGATCAGCAGCTCTGTTTGTGACATTTACTCACCATTGTGGCTGGTAGATATACTGTTGTGTAACAGCAATTAGTTTAGGATATAATACTTCAGTCTAGTTTCAAGTTCACCTTTGCGAAATATGTTTCTTTTTAGTAATACTATTTTTTGTAATACCTTAAGTTAACTTTTTTCCCACTCTTCTTGTCTTCCAGATGCGTAAATATAGTTATCTAGTTAAAAGGTAAAAACCAGCAGTTTTAACATAGTAGTGAGAATCAATTTGCAAGTAAAAACTCGAGAAATTTCTTAATCTTTATGTTTGTAATCAAAGCATAGTTGGATAAACAAATAAATGTTCAAAACGTCACTGATATGAGTGATATGTTATAAATATAGATTAAACGTCTGTCTGTACACTATCATCCATACGAGCTGATTTACCGGTGCTTCTCAACGGGAAGAGAACATGAGAGAGAATAATGCTGTTCTTTAGATCTGCCAGAAAAGTTACATATATATTATTCATTTTAGAATAAAAACCTAATTTTACTACCTAAGAAGTAAAAGTCTTTCCTATTTATTTAGACAAGTGGTTTTAATTGTCTAGGCAGCCATTACAGTGTATCTGTTGTACAACAATGTACAGTGTTGCCGTATCGTCATATGTAAAAAACACTGTAACTCTGTGTTTTAGTCAGAAAAGATAAATTTATTGAAAAGTGTACCTACTCTTAAAACCCTACTTATATGTTGACATAAATAGATCCAAAATAATCCAACTTACCTTAGTGTAGAAATAACATCAATAATTACTTGATATTGATGCTTCAGGAAAAAGATATTTATCTTAATTCTTCAATTTTAGTCAAGCTTTATTTTTATTATTCCTTATTTCTTTCCTGTAGCCTACTATTTAACTTGCAAATAAAAATCCAAATAATATTCTACAAAACTTGTTCTATTTCTTTAACTTTTCTTTATACAACCCTCTTACTAAATAACACAAATGACCTCAGTGGTATAAAGAATTACAAAAATATTTACAATTAAATCAACAAACACCAGTAGATTTGCATTGACCAGCTGTTTAATTTAATTAATTAAATAAAATCATTTTAAATTGTGAAAACATGTAACTGGCGTAACCATTTGAAAATTGGCCTGTAGGGCAGACCCCTTAGAAAATTCGTTCATACCAATAATTTTCGGGAAAACTGCACACTCTGATAGTTGCTTTTTACGTACATCAATTTGACGTACATGCTGGCGTACATCCAATTACATAGGCTGCATATTTATTTGCTAAAAGGCCTTGAACGATTACCCTACCTCAAGTTTTACTGTATCACTTATATAATATAATAGATTTATGTGACTTGTGCTGTTAGGCGACACTGCAGTTTAGTTTAGTTTTACAACACACCAATCTTAGTGGATCCCTAATTAAAAAACCTTAACTGGTCTTAAAATCGTTCTGTGGATTACGTTAGAAATATCAATTTACTATAAGCATTTTTCATAGCAATTTTGGGATCACCAAGCTTTTTTAATCCTAGGCATCAAATTCGGTTTCAATTCAGGGATCTAGAAACCTTACCCACGTAACTTTTAGAAGTAATATAGGCTACTTTGTGTAAACAATTAGCATAATAATGTAAAATTTGGTCATTTGTTTTATAGTATCACCGAATTAATCTGCAAACTATAATTTAAGATTAGTTGTTACAGTCAAGATCGCGGAGGCAAAGTTGCTCTAACTATTGTATAAAGGAGCGGAAATTGGTTCATAAGCCAAACTATAAAGTCTAATATCAATATCCTACCTCATTTACGTTTAAACTCTCGGTACTAAAATTTAAATTAACAAAGAACAACGGAAGTGTTTGTTTTTGAAGCTACTGTATTCTCGATATAAATAAGGAGAAAAACGACATCGAAATAAGAAAACATCCTAACACTATTCCTTTGTATTTTGGGTTGAAATTAGTGTTGCATATTAACGTTTAAAATTTTAAACTCACTTACAAAATTTCAGTAAAAATATAAATTAAGTATTTTTTTTTTGACATGACGAGCTAAAGTCTTTCTCAAGGGAAGCAATATTTTACATTCTCTAAGAAATTGTAGGTTTTTTTAACGGGTTTAAATTGTTTTGCTACACTAGCAGTACGTTTGGAAAAAAGTGATTTATTGTACAGGATCAACTATTGATTTTTTATTATTACTGTACTATTGAACATTTTAATGAAATATTTTTATTTTAAACAGTTACTTAGATTGAAGAAATTACAGTTTTTCAGTAATTTATTCTTTAATTTTAAAACTGATGCGTTGCTCTTTAAAAATCATTGTAATAATAAGAATATAAATCATTATAGTATTAATTTCCAATCACAACACTTTTTACGTTATATATTCTACAAAATATTGTTTATTATGTGTTGCTTCATAAAAGAGTATTGTTCAAAAATATTTTTTTAACAATTAAAAGAGAGGTACAAATTTGTTTAGGTAGTTAACAATACAACCGTTCACTTCTTATCCAAACGAGTTAATTACTCTGCATTAAATTAATTTACTGGAGTGTAATTTAGTATATGTATCAGTAATCCGACGTAGCGAGAGAACTCCATTCTCACAGTAGGAAGTTGGATGCATTAACTACTATCATGGCCAGGATATTACCTTCAACATTACGTTCACGTTGCCCATTTACTTACGCTATATCACCGCTTTGGCCTTTGCTTTATTAAAAATAGAAGCTCCGCATATTTGCTTGAATGCCGAGTGGCCAAATGGTTGCAAGTCCTTCCATTCATAATAATAAAATGCGTTTTATTTCCTCAGGTAGGAGTACAAGTTTACACTAAAATTGTATACTTGATTATTAACTTGGAATCAAATACGATTGTATTGTTACCTTGTGTAAAGTTTATGGGCCACTCAGTAAGAAATAGTAGCACATGCATGAATCAATTTTACATTAATTAGTGTTAGGCTATGCTGCTTGGATATTACTTTCATCTTATGTGTAAGCTAATCTTTAAGACTGCTTGATAAGATAGTCGTATTATAAAATAAAAAGTAAATACGTATTCTACTAAATTATGTAAGAGCTTTGCCTTAAGAGTTAGCATATTGTTTTAAGTCAGCTTAAAGTAAATGATGTATAGTAAATAACCAGCTTAAG